GGGATACAGATGATTTGCTTCTGGGCTCTGCTGGAGCTGTAGTCTAATCATCCTTTCAATAAATGTATCCTAAAGGAGAAGGTTGAAAACTGGATAAACACTGCCCAGAATTGTTGGGTTCAGCAATGATTTCACAAGCAGAGGGTGTACTATCCCCTCCTTCCAGACAGACCCATCTCCGCTCAAGGATGAATTTACCTTAAGTGGAATGAAAATCCACCCTTTGGATTTTCCACAGTTCACCTATAGATACATGAATCTAATGAGCAACTAACTGAGTTATATAAGGAGCTGTCAATTTTCTCAGGAGTTAGAGGATCAAGCATTTATCAAGTAAACAGCACATGATCCTGCTGATTCAACAGTGCTAAAGTGATCTAAATAAGTTGATTCATCGAATTTATTTTATTTTTTATTTAACAACTAACCAAGGCTGCTCATTTCACTGAATGTGATTCTGAGCAGTGTACAATTAATAATGAAAATGTTAAATATATTAAAAACTTTAACAATAAATAAAATCAAGATTCCTAGAGTATTATTCATAACAGCCATGTAAATATTATTGTGACCTATCTGTCCCCAGCTTGAGAATGGATCACTTTAAACAGGGCTGCTAGCTATTTGTGTATGTGATAAGAGTGGATGAGAAGCTATGTTTAGCTGTTCTTATTGCTACAGTACAATCATTGACGTGGACTCTTTCTTACCTGTGCTTGGTTGAATTGGCTGTTTGTATTTCTCCAGTGGTGTATTTTTGTTGTTTCATCTTCTGAAGTGCCATGAAAAATCAGAATCCTGTGTGGGATCAGTGAACAAGAGAGGCTGCATTGGGGGGGGGGGGGAGGATCTGATTATGCACTCATTCAGGCAGGGATTGCTGTCAAATGTTTACCAGATCCCAAGAAAAACCTCAAACAGTCTCTGAAATCAATTCAAATTAATCAAGGTGCTACAGCAGATTGATCAAATGGAACTGTTGGGGGTGGGGGAAGTCAACAAGCCAAAAAGCAACCAGAGAGTGACTTTATCATGACTAACACATAATGTAATGTTCTCTGCCTTTAGTTTATATTTCAACCTCCCTGAGATTAAAAAAGAAACAGATATAAAACAGATCTAATTCCATATATGTATTGGACCTTCAATAATCTGGGTCACATCCATTTCTGATGTTGAGAGTAAAGAATATTACTTTGATGGAGATATAGAATTGTTTTCCTGATCTGGTCTACCTAGTGGGGCTGATACTTGACTTGATGGTTGTGATCTTCTGAGCTCGACAATACTTTACACCATGAGGGCAACTGTAACTCTCCCAGAACTATCAGTTTTGGAGATTTCACTACCAGCTATATGATGGAATTGGTCAGCTTATACATAGATCAATTACTCCTTAGAATCCAACTTTAACCATATCGTCTCATATCTGGTTTTCAGGAACCTGTTAAGGTTTCTCAGATGACAATTGCCAACACATTCTCTTGTCCTGAAATTATAACTGATGAATAGAATCCAGGAGTGCATATATGGATGAGTCTTAGTAACACTTGTCAGGTTGACTGTTTCATCCATAATAAGATCATGGATCTTTGTCTTGCTACAAAGCAATGTGTCATTTGACAATACCTGCTGGAGACAAAGGCCACTGATAATCTGGTGACTTTGCAGCAGGGATAAGACTGAGAATGAGAAAGTAGAATTGGTATCAAATACTTTGTGCTGTGTGTGGTCTGTTCCCAGATTCCTACCACCTATCTCTATTATAAAAATACAAGTACTAAAAATAACTTGAAGAACATTTTAAATTTTATATATACAATGTGATCCATACATACCTACTAAGTTATCCCCATTTAGTTCAGTGAAAAGTAAGCTATGGGAGTCCATGGAGTATTGCAACTAGGGAAATAGTAGAGCAGCTATAAAGATCCAGGGCTTTGCAAGCTCAAAGTAGACAGGTGGCATGTCCAAGCCCCTTGACCCCAGCAGGTTTTTTTCCCCTCCTTTCCCTTCTATTTTAATTGAATGAGAGAGGAAATGATCTGGTTCATTATGTTAAACCACAGTTGATGATGACCAGCCTAAACCAAGCAAATCACATACAGTGTAGTGTCATGTGTGAACTCAGTAATAAACAACCTGCGGTCCAGGCTGACTTAAATGAGAAAAGCCAAAGCCGAAAGGTTATAGGAGAAGTAGAATGGTTTTGAGTCCAGGATTGCTCCAGCCATCCCCTTTACCCTCAATGCACCATGTTTCAGCATTTACTTATGGCAAGAACACTATCAATGTTGCTTCTGTGTCTGTAGAATTTATGTTGGAATCCTGGAGCCCTGGGAATGCAGATTGTTCAGCTCTGAAATAGGGTTTTGCCTACAAAAAAAATCATGCCAGAAGAAAATAATGAGTCTTTAATGTATCATAGTTTAGGAATGAAAATAATGTTTCCCTTCCAGCCTTCTTGGTTTTATTTTTCCACAGTGCAAAAAAGTGTCTGATGTCCCATACCTCAGAGTAAGCCTTCTCATGGATTAAAACTGTATATTATAACAAATACCTTAATACGCCTGAGACAAATTATTATCCAAATAAGTTTCTTGATGCATAACAAATGTTTTTGTTTTTTTGTTTGCTATGATTGCTATTTCATTGTTATTAAACACTAATTTGTTGAGAATGGATGTTTTCTTCCATATGGTGTATTTTGTTGCCTTTGGTAGTATATGTGCTGTTTCAAGTTTGCTCTCGTACACTTTATGCTTTCCCTGAATATTTTGTTCTTCTCATTTCGTGTTCATTTGGAGATTTTTCTCTTAGTAACAGTCTCTATACAGCTGGCTCACTCCGTTCTGTAACTCTTAACAAGATTTCTTTAATTATTTTAGCAAACAGGATTCTTTTTCATGTTTATAATTTTATTGTAACCACATGTCACTGAAGATGTCATTCATCTGTTCTAGTCAATTTGTCTCTTCTGTTTTACACTGCAAAAGTATTTTGGATTTTCAGAGCATCAAATGTACTTTTAGGAAATACTTCTTAGAAGATAGCAATCCACTTTCATGCAGAAATGGAATGGAATGGAGTGAAACAGAATAGCACAGAATAGAACAGACCTTTCAATATATATATATTTGAACCATTGTCTAGCTCTAAAGCCTGTAAATTTGTAAGTTTGTAAATTATAGAGGGAGCTTGAAATTGTAAAGTAAAAAGGAGAGGAAAGACTTTGGGGGCAGAAATAATAACATCTATAAAATGTTAATGGTACAATTTTGCTGTTGCCAAATGGCTTAGTGATTAGATGACAGAAGAGGTGATTACAAAGAGAAGAGTAGAGAAGAGCAACAAAGATGATTAGGGGACTGTAGGCTAAAACATATGAAGAACGGTTGCAGGAACTGGGTATGTCTAGTTTAATGAAAAGAAGGACTAGGGGAGACATGATAGCAGTGCTCCAATATCTCAGGGGTTGCCACAAAGAAGAGGGAGTCAAGTTTTCTCCAAAGCACCTGAGGGTAGTACAAGAAGCAATGGATGGAAACCAATCAAGGAGAGAATCAACTTAGAATTAAGGAGAAATTTCCTGACAGTTAGAACAATTAATCAGTGGAACAGCTTGCCTCCAGAAGTTGTGAATGCCCCAACACTGGAAGTCTTTAAGAAGATGTTGGATAGCCATTTGTCTGAAACGGTATAGGGTTTCCTGCCTAGGCAGGGGGTTGGACTAGAAGACTTCCAAGGTCCCTTCCAACTCTGCTATTGTATTGTATTGTATTGTATTGTATTAAGTGCAAACCCTTGCTTATACAGATTCCTCTGAACTATCTCATTTCCAATTCCACTGTCATCCTATATAAACATGGTTGGTATATCTTCAATCAATACAGTAAAATAATCATTATTTTCAAGTAGTGAGAAAAATGAAAATAATGGCTACATTCATATATCATGCCATATCCTTTTGCTTATTTGACTTTGAGTTACTGTATTGTGAAAGCCTAGCCACCAGGTTTTACAAATCATGAGTTCTGACCAACTAAAAACTGTATTGTTTATTCAGTTGACCATGGTTAACTGTGGGACGGCATATTGTGAAAGCTCAGACAGTTAAATAAAAACTCTTCTAATTATGATTATTCACTCCTTGTTTATTACTATTAAATTGAGTTGCCTAGGAAAAGTTCCAAGGATAGAAATTACTAGATGGCTAATTCAGGAAATTGGCTTGAAAATGCTCACTTTTGAAATAATATTGCATGCTTTTTAAAAAGAGTCCATGTGTATTATTATCTCTGTGTATTTTTTAAATATAAATGTTGTGTCTCCAATGTCTGAATGTAACAATAAAATTGAGAAACCTGTCTGAGAAACCTGGGTGAAATATTAGTAATATGCAGGTAGTCCTTGATTTACAATAATTCGTTTAGGAACTGTTCAAAGTTACAATGTGCCTAAATTCTCACACTTACAACTGTTTTAAATACCAGTTGCCAGGAGTCCAAATTTTGATCATGTGACACCACCCCATCACATGATCAAAATTCAGGAACTTAGCCAATGGCATATATTTACAATGATTTCAGCATGCCAGGATCATATGATCTTCATTTGTGACTTTCCCTGTCGGCTTCTGATGAGCAAAGTCAATGGGGAAGCTAGATTTGCTTAATCATGTGATTCACTTAACAACCATTGCAAAAGTCGTAAGATCATACACCACTAATTTAACAACCACTTTGCTTAGCAATGGAAATTCTATCATAAGTCAAGGACTATCTGTAGAACAGCTTTTAATTGATAATCTATTTTTTTTCTTTTTACCTTGTCATTCTGCGACAACAAGGTGTTTAATTCCTGCTAGGGAAATCTAAAAGTAATTTACTACTATTTCATCCAACATTTCCAAAAGAAACAATTCAATATTTCCGAACTAAGGAACAACTGTTTCACTTTCTTAGATAGAAACTGTTCATTTTGTTTTATTTATCAAACAGATTTCTAACTTGCCTTTCAGCCACAAGTGGGATCAAAAGAAACAGGCTCCTTTGGTTAAGACTATGAGAAGAATCACTTGTTTTTTTTCTCGGCAAAGAAGGCAGTCAGATCAGAACATCAGCAACTTATTTGCCTCTGAAGTGACTAGATGAATAGAATAAAAAATGAATTGCTGCTTTGTAAGGTATGGATTACTGTATGAAATCCTATATATGTTTACGTATTCAAAGTTCAGTTGAGTTTACTATCATGTAAATATGGACAGGATGGCAACTGACCTTTCATCTCCTCATTAAGTTCAAGTTAAGGATTCTTGAACAAGAATCCTTCAAGCATTTGGTTCCAGTACCAGCTTCAGTTGCTGTGGCAAAACTGTTGACTGAAACCAATTATGAAAGCTTGTTCTGTGTTCAAACACTGTAAATTAATTATATATTGTTCTCTTAAAGGCAGCCTAGCTTCCAGACTTCCTCACCCTCTTTAATCTTGGAGAAGCTTTGTCTAGGCATCTCTTAGGAATCTTGTCTAAGGGTCATGTATAGCCTGTCTGAATCCCTTTAGATCATAATCTCTATAAGATCTAGTTAACGTGGGCAGTGATGCACACATCTGCTGTGGGGCTACCAAATTTCAGCTTCAATTTTCACCATCTCTTTGCTGCAATCTAGGAGAGGTTTTTAATTTAGTTTTCATATATGAACATCTGTAGGAAGTGGTTACATTACATTATGGTGATATTTCATTTGAGTGAGTATCTGAAATGGGTTAATACTACTTAAATGATGAGCTAGCTTGCTTGAGATACTACACTATTTCAGTTTAGTAAGTGACTTGAGTAATCTAGCATATATATAGGGGAAAAACCCAACACGCAAAAGAATTCCTGTTTCAAAAAAGAATAATCTGGGTTGTTTGTTTTTGTTCCAAGAGTTGGAGAATTAGAAAATATTGAGCAAAATATCTCCCCCCCCCCCCAAAGTAAGTTGGAATGGACAGTCACTTTAAAGTTATTTAATATTGTCAGAAGCAGCGTTTGTTGCCTCTATCCATTTCTTAGCCCATGATTTATTTAACCATTGGCTCAAGTAATAAAATTGTTTTATTCAATAGTTCTAAAATATTTCAGAAAATATTTGCTCACAATTATTCATTATAGAATTCTTTCTTAAGAGAATCTTTGGTTGGTAAGTTGTCACATAATCATAGTTTGCTAACAATACATAAAAGAATTTTGGAAAGAAATTTTCACAAAGTCTGAAAATTCACACATAGTCTAATAGTATATGTACATGCATCTCTCTCTCTGTTGTATTATGTTGTTATTAAACAGCAAATTATAATATGCCCCACCTGTTGCCTCCCTGGCAAGTGATTGACACTCCATCAGCCTCCTTTATCCAAATTGATAAAAATTGCATCCTCCATGGTAGACATACCACTTCTTCTGTGATGTAGTTTCTCAAACTGTTTGTCAAACTGCCAGCCCTGCACTGGAAGCTGCCAGGGCTCTTTCTCAGCAGTAGTGGCAGTGGCTCAAGTCATAACCCAGGACAGGGCTGACTGTCACTGAATCACTGGTTAGAAAGTGAGTCACTTTGTGAAAACTTAGTCATTGATTCTGTATTTAAAAATGTATGGATTAAAAATTAAGTGTGTTCCCAACAGCTATCTTTAAGATGAGGCTCACAAATAACTGAAGTATTTATCACCTGGCGAATAAGCATAGAACTGATGGGAGCATCATTTCTATTCACCATGTACCTTTTCTATTACAGCAACTGACTTTTTTTCTCATGCAAGTAGTCATCAATTTACAACTATTTGTTTCCTGAACATTTGTAGTTACAGCAGCGCTTGAAAAAGTGACTTACAATTGTTCCTCATGCTTATGATCATCATAGCATCCCCATGATCAAAATTTGAAAGCTTGGCACCCAGGATGTATTTATAATGGTTGCAGCATCCTGGAGTCGTGTGATTGCTATTTGCGATCTTCCCAGATGGCTTTCAGCCAGCAAAGTCAATGGGGGAAGCCAAACTTGTTTAACAACCATATTCACTTATCTGTAGTGATTTGTTTAATAACTGAGAGAAAAAAGGGGTAAAATTGAGTGTGATTTATTTAACCAACCTCTTTGCTTAGCCACCAAAATTCTGGTATCAATTGTGGTGGTAACTCAACAACTACCTGTAATCTCTAGGGAATTCCATGCACTTGCCTGAATGCCACTCTTGATCACTTAATTAATAAATACAATGCAATTTATTTGGAACATTGGAATGTCTAGTCCAGTGGTAGCACTTTCAGTATTTATGTTTGTCAGAGATATCCTGTGCTTTTAAAAGTGGTAGAAATGAGTAGAGAGTATTCCAGTATTCCAGGAATAGCATTATGTCATTATAGAGTGTCATTCATTAGGAGAGTAATGTTCCACGTGTTATGCAGGAACAACTTTGGGAAATGAAAATAATAGCTGCCAACTAGGAGCCACTAAGAAGTGATATACTACTGTCAGCACTGTCGAAGGGGCTTAGGTGAGAGAAAGGTATAGTCTATTCAGCTGAGTTTTTACAACAATTTTTGGGACAACTATAACGTCAGTACTAGTGTCTAAAATTGCAACACCAATAGAGGAATAAAAATGTTATTTTCAAAAGTTTGTGTCCAAGTACAGGAATCTCTGGAGAAGAGGCTCTAAGAACAGGAAATAAATACTGCTTTTCAGTAAACATCTATTGGAGACAACTCTTGGCAAGACCATATTTGTTCTAAATTAAAGTTCTATAACTTGCTATAAAATCTTATATGCTTCTTTCCATTTCTTTCTACCAGGATTTATTGATCCACCACGGCAGAGTATAATGGAAATAATAGTGTATTGAGCAAAAACAAGATTGTATGAAAGGAAAATCTTAACAAAGCAAAAATGAAAATTAGGATGCTAGTGTTTATCCGTGATTGGTTAGAACTATGGGACCAGGTAACTTCCTGTGGGAAAAACAAATACTTTCACTAAGAGGTAAATGAATTCTTTGTAGCTTTGTCTGTATGAAAAACAGGATAACTTGAAAATGTATGGTGGTTATGGTGCTGTTAGGTATTCTATTAAAATAAATAAGTACATCCTGGTAAAAGTTTTCCCATGTGCTTTATTTTATTCATTACCAACAAGCAGAATTATGTTAACAGCAAAGAAATAAAGATCACAATAAAATATCCTATCACAATAAAGGAGAGAAATACAGAAAATGAAATAAATGAGATTATTAATATAGTATAATTTCACAAATGGTAATCAACTTCCTTGGAAAAAGGTTGCCTCCCACAAATCATATGTTATCTACATGATGAAACCAAAAGAATGATGGGAGTAGAGAGACCTTCCATAGCATTGGGACCTTGTCACAAAAGTTTGTTCTTCCTTGCTAAACCTCTGCCTCATTTTAGCTGGACAAATGTGTAGATTATTTCACAGTAGGAGTGAATACAGATTCATAATTGTGTTCCCTTCATTTCCTTTCTTCATTTCTTTAACTGGAAAAATCCTTTGAAGGGGTTTGTGAAATTCCATTATATCATATTTCCCCAATCTGGACCATTCTAGATGAACATAGAGAATAAAAAACAACAGAGTTGGAAGGGATTTTGGAGGTAATATAATCCAACTGCCTACATGAGCAGGATGAGCTGGACTTCATTTCTCATCATCTCAATTATTATATCATCAAGTTAGGAGTTGTGGGAAATTATTGCCTGTTAATAATGAACTACATATATTGAACTATATATTGGGGGGGAAAGTCATAGTTCAACCTGTGTAACAGCCTAAAGTTACAAATTCCCTAAAGGCTTCTGGAAATTGTCCAGAAGAACCCTGAACATGCTCAGAAGGCACAGAATGCTGAACAGAATGAAAAATATCTCAAGTCATATACAGGTAGTCCTCAACAGTTCATATAGTGACTGTTTGAAAAAAGGAACTTATGACCACTTTTCACACTTACAACCATTGCAGCATTCCCATGCTCACATGATCAAAATTAGGATGCTTGGCAACTGACATATTCATGTGATCAGCTTCTGCCACTTTTTGACAAGCCAAGTCAATGGGAAAACCACATTCACTTAACAATTGTGTTATTAAGTTAACAACTACAGTAAATCACTTAACTGTGGCAAGAAAGATCGTAAATGGGGCAAAACTCACTTAACAAATGTTTCACTTAGCAACAGTAATTTGGGGCTCAATTGCGGTCATAAGTCAAAAACTACCTGCATTTACTCTTGGGATTTCAGTGCATATTGAGCTGTTTGTGAAAATAGCTTGAAAAGATGTTAATAGCATATAATCTGAAAGAAATAGCATATAAATCATAAACTAGAATTCAGAAATATGGCACTTATATCAGAAGTATGCAAACTGATACTTATGGGCACCAATATATCCCTCCTTATAAGCCATCAAGGCTCTTGTTCCACCTGACTTTGTTTTCAGTTGAAAAACTTGACATGGGATACACCTTTTCCAGGTTGGTAAGGAATATTGGATGGGAGAACAATAACATGTTCCTTTTCTGTTACTAGTAGTAAAATTGGTTTTTTATTACTGGTCATACTCAATGTGTTAGAACTATATGAATAGGCAATGATTTACTATAAGTGTCCACAACTTGATTTAAGTGGAACACTGGCCCACAACATCGTCAGTCTGCTTTAGATGTGTTATATTTATCTCCAGACAGATTAATGGTTGAGGTTTTTTTTAAAAAAAAATAATGGCCAAGGATCCCTAAATTTCCAAAAGTATTTTATTTAACTGTTTCCAATTATTAAAAGATTTGACAATTAATTTTTAGTGGCTAAGGATTCCTAACTCTTATCAATTAGGATAATTTCTGTGATCATTTAAAATTATAACAGAATTTGAGAATTAATTTAATATTATAACTTTCCATAAACAGTGTTCTATGAGTGTATTGGGCTGCAGCATGTACAGTTTCCAAATAAGGCCATTTGTCTAAAAATATGGTAAATGTAATTTAAAGGTGCCTGCTTAAGGACCATTTCTTTAGCAAGCTGAGTTACTTGATGGCGTAATCACAAGGAAGCTAACAAAGTGATGACTAATATTTTGATTTTTCCCAAGATTAATTCTTTCTCCCTCCCCCATCCCAAGTGTCTAATTTTGACTTAGTCTTCTTGATTCTTAATGTGTCTTAGAACAATTT